AAAGAATTTTTCTACAGAAAACTTACTACATGTTAAAGAGTAAAACATTATTAAAGGAAGACTTTGCAAATTGTTTTCCTGAGTACAATTTCTTTGCACTATGGGTTCCTTCATGTAAGTGAAGCTGAGCAGATGTAACAAAGGCTTTTCCACATTGTTTACAAACATAGAGCTTATCTCCAATGTGTGTTCTCCCATGTCTTTGAAGGTCACTAAAACTAGCAAAGGCTTTGCCACATTGCTCACACTCATAGGGCTTTTCTCCAGTATGAGTTTTTTCAAGTTTGGGAAGGTAACTGGAACTAGCAAAGAAATTGCCATACTGCTTACATTCATAGGGCTTCTCCCCACGTATGTGTTCTTCTATGTCTGTGAAGGTTACTGTATGCAGCAAAGGCTTTGCCACACTGCTCACATGCATAAGGCCTCTCTCCAGTATGAATTCTTTCATGTAAGTGAAGGTAAGAGGAACGAGCGAAGGCTTTGCCACACTGCTTACATGCATAAGGCTTCACCCCAGTATGAATTGTTTTATGTGAGTGAAGGCCAGAGAAATGAGTGAAGGCTTTTCCACACTGCTTACACTCATAGGGCTTCTCTCCAGTATGTGTTCTTCCATGAATCTGAAGGAAAYGGGATCTAACAAAGGCTTTCCCACACTGCTTACATACATAGGGCTTTTCTCCAGTATGAGTTTTTTCATGTGAGTGAAGCTCACTGGATCTAGTAAAGGCTTTCCCACACTGCTTACATTCATAGGGCTTCTCCACAGTATGTGTTCTTTCATGTCTGCGAAGGTTATTGGACCTAGCAAAGGCTTTGCCACACTGCTTACAAGCATAAGGCTTCTCTCCAGTATGAATTTTTTTATGTGAGTGAAGGCCAGAGAAACGACTGAAGGCTTTCCCACACTGCTTACATTCAAAGGGCTTCTCTCCAGTATGCGTTCTTCCATGAATCTGAAGGGAAGTGGATGTAGCAAAGGCTTTGTCACACTGCTTACATTCATAGGGCTTTGCTCCAGTATGAGTTTTTTCATGTGAGTGAAGGATACTGGATGTAGCAAAGGCTTTRCCACACTGCTTACATTCATAGGGCTTCTCTCCAGTATGAATTCTTTCATGTCTTCTAAATAAAGAGGAGAAATGAAAGGCTTTCCCACATATCTCACATTGAAAAGGTTTACCTCTAATTTGAGTTCTCATGTGTCTTTGAACACTTGTGGGAGAAGATGAGGCTTCACCACATTTTTGATATTCATAGGGTTGCCACCCAGTATGAGTATCATCATGCCTTTGAATGTCACTGGAAAGACTGAAGACTTTCCCACGTACTGTACTTTCATAGGGTCCCTCTCCAGTTTGTATTAACATTTGTGTGTGAACACTTTTGAGAGAAACSATGGATTGCCTGTAGTGTTTAAATTCATATGGCTTCTCTTCACATTCCTCGTGCTTGTAGCATTTGTGTCCAGTGTGACATGTGATGTGCCTATGAAGGAATGAAAGGCATATGAAGTCTTTGGCACTCATATAACAATCACATGAATTTACTCTATTAAAATTTTTCTTTGTCCAGTTAAGACCTGGAATTTCATTGAAACTTTTCCCAAACTATCTTCTTGGCCGTTGAAGTTTACCACATGTCTTCTTTGAAGAATGACCAGCACATTKTCAATGCTTGATTCATTCATGATTTTATACTTATTTATAGGTCCTAGGCTTACATTACTACCAACATCAGGTAAAGGCTAGGTTTTCCCATGTGTTCAAATTGCCTGAAAATCAAGAGATTGAAAGGAAACAATCCTTTGCAATGCAGCCGCTCTATGGTGATTATCCAAATAGTGATATTCACATGCAATTTCATATACTTTTGCCATGCCAAGTGCTTGGAAAAGACTGAATATCTGTTAGAGTTAAGTATATATTTCTGGAAAAAAAATCTTATAAGAATAAATACATTTCAAATTGTGCATACTTCTTGAGTTGGTCTGTTTTAAAAATTATATGACATTCTCAGATTCTCTCAAGTACTCCTCTTGTGGGTACAATTACCTTAGAATGATCTCAGAATTTTTGATCTCATCTTCAATGTTCTTTTCATCCAATTTTTTTCCTATAAAAGCCAGGTTTCTGAGGACTTCCAGCATCACATCTCTGTAAAGGTTCTTCTGTGAAGGATCCAGCAATGCCCACTCCTCCTGGGAGAAGTTCACAGCCACATCCTCAAAGGTCACTGAGATCATTTTTGTCTTTATAGAGGACAAGGTGTTCTCTTGAGGACCTTAAGGCACCAGAGATAGAGGGAGGCACAGGCTGCTCAGAATCACCTAGGCCTTTTGGCAGACCTCGTGGGGCCCGGAAAGCTGTGTTTCTTTTTTCTATTGAGAACATTTAAAATCTCTTAGCAATTTTGAAATATAAATTCACTATTATTGACTATGGTCACCATGTTGTCTAAAAGATCTCAGAAACTTATTTCTCCTTCTAACTGAAACTTTGGACCCTTTGTTCAATATCTTCCAAGCCCCCACCTTCCTCCCCTTAGAGTAATTTGAATATGAACTGGATATTAAATGACACTTAAAAAATGTTATGATCTTGTTAGGTGTGATGTAGTATTGTGTTTATGTAAAAATGTCACTATTTAGAGAGGCATATTGAAATATTTAGCAGTGAGGATTCATAATATCTGGGTACTAAAATACAGGAATATTGTAAAATGTGAATAACTACTAAGTTTAGATGAAGAATATAGTAGGATCTGTTACACTATTCTCCCTACTTTTATGGGTGCCAGCAGTTTTTCATAATAAAATGTTAGAAAGAGGAGATATCAGTGTATTTACCTTTCTACCTCAAAAAGCAAGAAGGTTATCATGTATCATATCTTCTTCATGGCACCACCACATAAATTTCAGATTATCTTTTTGATGATCAATAATTATGTAATCTTTATTGTGTTTTAATAGTTTCTTTGCTCTTCCTTACAGCCCATTTAAAAAATTATTGACTTTATCTTCCATTTTGCCATTTTCCCAAACTCAATTCTTTTAAAAGATCCATATTTATCTGAATCTTCAGCACATCTGAAGATTCACTCTTCAATTGCAGTTTTTATAGGTATGGAATTTTATGTTAGCAATTATTTCCCTTCAGCCCTTTGGTCTTTTTTATCTTGGCATTCATTCTTGCCAATGAGAAATTTGATTCTTGTTTCTCTTTCCCTTCACCCCCTCACCTCTCTTAGCATTTTACAAATTTACGATTTTCTCTTTGTTCTTTGTGTTCTTAAATTTCCTCAAGAAATGATCAAGTGTAGGTTTGCTATTACTCTTTTAATTCATGGCCCAGTCTATGGGCCATTTCAAACTAAAAATGTCTTCACTATGACTTGTCTGTATGTCCTCCAAAATTCAGGTGTTCTGACTTAATGGCCAATGTGCTGGTATTAACAGTAGGCCCTTTAAGAGTGATTAGACCATAGGGGGTCCTCCTTTGAGAATGTGATTAAGGCCCTCATAAAAGAGGCTTCTTGCAGCGTTCGGTTCTTCAGTCCTTCAGTCCCTTCTGCTCTGTGAAGATGCAACGTTCCTTCCTCCAGAGGACAGAGTCATAGAGCACCATCTTGGAAGCAGAGAGAAGCCTACATGGATACCAAGCCTGTTGGAGACTTATCTTGGACTCCTGCCTTCAAAACAGTGAGAAATAATTTTCTGGTTTTTATCCCAGTATTGATATCAAGTATTCTGTTAACAGCAGAGCAAATGAACTAAGATTATTTTCAGCTTTAGGACATTTGCTTCTATTATTTGATCTCTTCATTCTTTCTATTTGTTGTTGTTATTGTTGTTCTTTCCTCTGAAACTTCTGTTATGAGGATTATGCAGCTTCTGGATGAATCCTTCATGAATATTGTATTTTTCTCATATTTTAATTTCTTTGTACACTCCCTTTGCATACTTAGAGAACTCAATTTAAGTTGTTAAGCCCATTAATTTGTTCTTCATTTATGTTATGATCTAGCTACCTAGCTCATAAAATCATGGTTTGGATTTTATTTTGAAGATTATTTTTAAATTCTATGATCTCTAATTGGGTATTTCCTTAAAGCTGATTCTTGTTTTATAGATAGGTTATCCTTTCTTATTCCTCTTTTCACTTGTGACTTCACAGTTTCCTGTGTAGTATATTGTCATTGTATTAAAAAAAAAACACCACAAATGATGTTCCTCTTACTGAGATTCATAATCCTGCCTATCTCGGTACCACCCGGATTTGATGTCAGCAAAATGAAACACATCTCCTTCATTTTCTTCTTTACAAGGCCTTACTGGGATCTCGGCTCCCAGCTCCACTGTTAAGTCTTGGCATGATTTTAACAACATGTTCGGAAATCTATTTCTAAGGTTGCCATTCTTAACTCAAACCCCCAGATGATGAAGTAATTCACAACTGGTACTGTTTAGTTAATGAGCCTTAAATGTGGGCCTCATTGGGTCCACAGCCTGCTGGGGTAGAGGACCCACCTGTTTCCACTTTAAACCTTATGGCTATTAAAGAATAGAATGAATAAACACTGAAATGAGAAATGCCTGACTACACTGGATGGCCCACACGGGGGCAGAAACTGTTGACCATAATGATGGTGAATGAGAAGAGGACATAACAATTTTGTACAGAAATAAATGTGACTACAGTAAGCCTGGATTTACCCAATTGTGAAATACGGAAGGACATCATTGGGAATTTAAAAAAAACATTGCTTTATAGGATGACTTATTGGAGAAATGACTTTATGTATCATTGAATGTTATCCCAAAAGAACTGTTTTCTGTTTCAAAGTATTTGAGTTGAATTAATAGATGGAAGTTCTATTAAGGTTAATTGGGGAAAGTTAGTACATTTTTCCCTCAAAGTCTTTGAGGGGAAAAGAGCTTCCCCTCACCTGCCTTCCATTCCTATACAGAGTTAGGTGGCTTCATGGAAAGGTCATAGAACATAACCTGTTACAGATGTGGACACACAAGATATCAAAACAAACAAGCCAGGGTGAGAACAGGGGCACCAGTTTTGAATAGTATGAAGGCTGATTTTCCTGACAGTCATTTCTGCTACAGTCATTGGGAATGTGTGTAGAGTGACCTGGGTCCTCACATGGGACCAACAGACTAGGGAGTAGATCCAAACTTGATTCCTTTTTTCTTTAAAATTATTATTTTTTTATATTTATTTTTTAGTTGTACACAATACCTTTATTTTGTTTATTTATTTTTATGTGGTGCTGAGGATCGAACCCAGGGCCTCGCACGTGCTAGGCGAGTGCTCTACCGCTGAGCCACAATCCCAGCCCCAGGTTTCTTTTTTTCTTACTGGCTTTTCATCCATCACCTGTGAACTTGGAGAATTCAATTTGGAAAAGTGTTCTCTGAGGAGGAAATGACCATCCCTCCACACCCAGCCTATCTCAAGCTGATGAGTCAATCTCCTAGCAATTTTTCACATCCTTCCTACTTTCTCTTTACCACCATTACCACCCTAGTCCATGTCATAATCATGCCTGTGAAAAAATGTTTATTGCTGCATTATATATTGGAACTTCCACCAAAAAAAAAAAAATGTTCAAATCACCAATTCTGAGAAAATTGTTAGGTAGAAAATTGTATGTGAATTGGAGGAAATATTATATTGCCTTCAGAATGACAAAAGTGAAAACTATGCACAAATCAAGTATAAATAAAATTGAAGAAAACTCTTACTGACTACAATCATGAAAGTTAAGTTGCATGATAATAATAATAGCCTCTTAATTGATCACCCACTTTCTGCTTGGGATTCTCTTCAACCTGTTCCACACACATTTATAGAAGTGCCCTTTAAAAATACATATCTGACTGTGACATTCTCTTGCTCACTAAAGGTCTCCTGTCACTGGAGGATAAATTCCAAAGTTCATAATAAGATGTCCAAAACCTCCAACATAGTGTCCAGCATTGTCAAGTGTCCTTTCTTCATTCACTCACAGTCTTCCAGCCACTCTGGCCTGCCTTCAGTTCCTTCCTGCTCCAGGGCCTTTGTATATGCTAGTCTCTTGGCTTATTATGCTTTCCCTCTCCTACTTATTCTAAATAGTTCCACATTAATGTTACTTGTTTACAGAAGACTTTACTGTTAATAAACCTATCTTCCCCATCTAAAATAGGTATTTTATCAAAGCCCTAATTTCAAATGTATTGTGGTTGTCTTCCTTTTCTTGCACTTAACAGTCTTGTGAGGGTAGGAAGCAGATTAATTTGTTTTGTTGCATACACTCAGTTCTTAGCGCAGAAGAACTTATTAAGTACTTATGAGGGAAGGCATGAATCCTGAGACATTCTGGATGAAGAGGTAGGATGTGAACAAGAGTTTTGGTGTTCATTACAAAATTTTCGTGGAATTACAGGGTCTAAAGTAAACCACACACTAGTTTTAGCTCAAATTGAATTCATCAGAGCAGAAATTATATCATGTCTTCAATGTGACCTACTTAAACTTGGGCAATCAGGTATTTGATGTATCTGCCTCCAAGATACTCAACACCCTTGAGGTCCTGGTAGTTGTATATAATAGGGAGTCAAGCTAAGTTTTTTGAAACTAAAATGTCACTTATTGTTCTTCTACTCATTAAATCATCCCAATGATAACTACCCCTTCTCCTTCTGAGTATAGGATTATGGCTGTTTGCATTCTCTGTTTCAGTAGAGTTACCCACAAAACTTTTGCCTATCACAACGAGAGAGAGGAGAGAGAGAGAGAGGAGAGATCTTTCAAATTTACCAGAACGGGTGTTCATCTGTTCATAACTGCTGAATGCAGTTTCTTCACCATTGTTATCCTTGCATCTAAATGTGTTCATCTTCCTGCTACCTTCAGGCCCCATTAAGTTTTTCTTTACAAATAAGCCATAGTCCATTTCCCTTTAACCAAGTTAAGGAGAATTCTGGCATCCATCTATTGGACAAATTTTCATGAAGTGTTTTCTCTGTGTCAGGCCCTGCTCTGGGTATGGAACATGTTGTAGATATCTACAGGGTTCACGGTCTGGTGAGGCTGCTTATGTGAACCCACTTAATTAGCCTTTCTTTTGTTTCTTTCCAATTCCTTTTCACAGGGAATTAGACTTTCTCAGGCTTCTCTGGGCTTTCCTTAAAAAGAAGAAACGTTCACAGAATTCATTTTCTCTTAGGCTGTAGTGAATACCTGTCCTATTTGGACAGAGGGCTTTGCCCTTGACAGAAGATCCTAGCAAAGTGGTCCCCAGCCTGAAGAAAATGAATAAACTCCTTTATTTTGCCTAAAAACACAAACACATGGCAGACTTGATGTAAAGATAAATCTAAGACCTGTGAAGGATTTTGGTGCTAAACAGAGGCAACACCAAGGTCGCCAAAGAATAATATGGGAAAGAAACTGGACTGACTGGGGGAATCCTAGGAGTGAGGGTTCCCAGAACCCCTGGGGGTGTTTTCACAGCATGGCACTTGATAACCTGCAAAGTTCAAGGCTAGGAAAACTGAATTTTCAGCCGGGGCTTTTGAAACACTACTGATAGGTCTTTCATGGAAGTACAGGTGGAAGGATAATGAGACTCACTTTATGGAATGAACTTTTTTTCTTGGAAATATGATCTAATGACCAAATATTTAAATGACTTTTCACTGTGATAAGAAATGGGTATTGCAAAAACAACAGTCCACCAGAGTTGTTCAGAATGTCTTATGAACAATGAAGTAAAATTGAGCCATTATTACTTTAAAAAAATCCTAATCTATGTTTAGAAAAATAAATTCATTCTGAAATTGGGTGATATTATGCTTAGGTAGCTTACACAAGATTGGAGAGCTCAAATCTTGCAAATGACTCCTCATGATTTTCTTTTCTCTCCATTACCGTCTTCTGAACTATCACACTGAAAAACCTGTGAAAAGATGTGGACTTGGTTCAAAGGCATTTTAATGTAGTGGAAAAATGAAAACTGGAGTCGGGCTGACCTGGATTATAATGTTGGTGGTTACATGTAGTACTTGTTTTGGATTCTAGTAGCTTCTCTGGGTTCATTGTTTTGGAAATTACCAGATCATGTATGTGAAAGCATGTGTTTCAGAATCTGGGATAACTATACATTATATACTCCTCCCCCACTTTGGACAGATTTCACTCAGAAGATGTGTGTGAGAGTGTGTGTAGGAGAGCTTAGGCCAGAATGAAATGGAAGCTTCAGGAAAGTTTTAGCAAATGTAACTTTTGTTCCTAAAAATGAATGTCCAACTTTTTATTGACAACTCGGGGGTATCATGCTAGGTATCCTGAATGTGCATCCAAATATCTTAAAAATTTAAGAAACTGCTTTATTTTGCCTAAACACACACACACACACACACACATGCATAGACACTTATTGGAACGACCTCTGGGTCATTTCCCTATTTGTGTTTATCTGAGCTCATATGGAATGCAAAGCATAAACTCTGTTGAGGTCACTTCATGATAACTGTTAAAATATCTCTGCCCAGTGGGTGCAACATAAAGAAAGAGCATAAGCCAGAATACATTTTGTGATAACTTTTTTTTTCTTCTCTTTAGAAAAAAAATATGTACAAAAAATGCTAATAAGAGCCAACATGGAAGTGTCAAGAAAACATTCTGATAAGTACAGACAAGGAGCTCCTTCTCTCAAAGGAGGGACACATTAGTTATCACCATGCTAGAAAACTGGGATGCAGTTAAAATCCTAGAACAGTTAAAAAGCCCAAAGTGAAGCTGTTGCTTTGGGGCTCTATGTTGTAGATGCTCTGATATCCTTTCTGTAAAATAACACTGTGCAAACTGTAAAATATTCATTTTCATATAAAGTCCATACAATATGATATACAAAACCATTGAGTTGACAGGGGAGGCCAGTGCTGGCTGCTTTTTGGAGAGAAAGCTGCATTGTTGCCTGCCTGTCCAAAGATATCATTCCAGTTTCTTGGTGGGCAAGGCCATTATCTAAGAAATAATCATAACCCAACACCCACCAAATCTAAGATTTTCTGCCAATTGTTAGTGTAACAAGGCTACTTCATTAATATATTACTCTACCCTTTGATGCAATAACTTAACAGATCAGAACAAAACGTTCTCTTTGAAGATTTTCTTTCCCCAGTCGATTCAGATTTATCATTAACCAACATCGTCCTTCCTGCAACTCAAAAGTTTAACTTCCATTTTAAATTCAAAAATTCTGAAGGAGGCAGCAACTGTGGTAATAAAAGGTTAAAGTGAATTGTTATATTAATTTTGTGTCTATAAAACTGAGAAAAGAAGGTTTGTGTACAAATATCACAAAACAACATCAACCATTGAATAAATGTGATGCTTCAATGCACACTTGAACAAGAAGAAAATTTTGTTGGTTTTAAAATTCTGGCATAAATATATTAAAGCTGAAAAAAAAAAAAGATCAGGGCAAGCTACATCACTTCTTCATACAAAAAAATGTACAAAACATTAGCCTCTAACTAGATAAACATAATACTTGTCTTCACAGTTTGACCTTCAGTAACTGTGTGTTTTGAAGTATTGAATTGGAAGGTGTTTAAAAAAAAAAAAAAAACAGATGGCGTCGCATCAGTCAGCTCAAGTAACTTCAGTCATGGAGGCGGAGTGATTCTGCAGAACAAACACAGCAGATAAAACTTTAGGGTTGGGTTGACTGGGCCCCACATTTGCATGCATCCATCCCTCACCACCCCCTTTCTTTCAGGTCTTCTTGAGTTTGCTGTTCCCTCCCCTCAAATTCCATTCCCTCTTCATTTAAATTTTCCCTGATTTTTTTCTTTCCCCAACCAAAGTAGGATCATTTCTTCACCAAAATATACTCCTCTCATATTTACTCGGCTATTTCTTAATATAAGCACTTAAGGATCTCAAAGTAACTTTAGCTGCACCCCACACACTTTTTAAATGATTTTTTAATGTCTAACATTTTCAATTAAATTTTTTCCATATAATTTATTCTTTGAGTCATGAGTTCTATAGAAGTTTAATATTTTCCAATGGATATGTAATTTGGGGTTTAATTTTTGTTATCTTTACAAAAAAAATTTAAGAGAAAGTGGAATACTTAATGCAAGAGCCATTAAACTGACTTAAGATTTGCTTCATGCTCTTGTTTATGATTTGTTTCACATGTTTAGAGGAGGATTATACATAATGCGTATTAGACCAAACTTATTGTCTCTATCCTTACTATATTTTGTTTGCTTACTTATTATTGAGAAAAATGTGTTAAAATCCACCATGATTGAAAATGTGCATTTTCCCTTGTAATTCTATCAATTTTTTTTTTGCTTATATATCTTGTCATCATCACCTTGTCTATTGTATCTAGATGAGATGTCACAAAGATAATGACAAATTTGAAAGAAGTTCAACTATACTCCTAGTGGACAATAAATTTATGCATAGTCTTACTGCAGTTATTGAGATAAATAACAGATTCAAAATATTTCATCTATCTTAATAGTAGCAGTTTTCAAAACTGGTACTTCAGTTTAAAAATTTGATTTATTCCATTTCAGTCCCTGTTCCCCACTTACTTTCCTTCACCTACTCCCTCTGCCATTCTCCTTCCTCTATTGATCTTCCTTTTTCTCATTTATTTGTTTTAGGTGCTTTCTATATATACATAAAGGTAAAGGTGAGAGTCCCTGTGGTATATTTATATATGCACATAGTATGATTTTGTTAAATTCATTCTGAAATTCCTCACCCTTTCCATTCTCCTTCCTCCCTCTGATCTCCTTTTCCTCCTCCATTGATCTTTCTTCTATCTTTATGATAGCCTGTACATCCCACCCGCCTTCTTTTCCTTATCTTGATTTAGCTTTCCTATATGAGAGAGATTTCACCCTTGATTTTCTTCATCTGGTTTATTTCACGTAGCATGATGATCTCCATTTCCATCCATTTACTGGCAAATACCATAATTTCATTATTTATTTTTGATATCAGGGATTGAATTTGGGGCATGTGACCACTGAGCCACATCCCCAGCCGTATTTTGTATTTTATTTGGAGACAGGGTCTTACTGAGTTGCTTAACACCTCACCATTGCTGAGGTTGACTTTGAACTCAAGATTCTCCTGTCTCAGCCTCTAAAGCCACGGGGATTACAGCTGTGCATCACCACTCCTGGCAATTTCATTATTTTTTATGGCTGAGTAGAACTCTATTATGTGTATCTACAAAATTTCTTAATCTATTCATTTGTTGATGGGCATCTGGGTGATTCTATAACTTGGCTATTGTGAGTGGTACTGTCATAAACATTAATGTGGCTATATCACTATAGTATATTGATTTATAGATCTTTTGGATAAATACCAAGGAGTGGGATAGCTGGGTCCTATGGTAGTTCCCTTTTTAGTCTTTCAAGGGATTTCTATACTACTTTTCCAGAGTGGTTATACTTAGACTAATTTGCAGTCCCACCAACAATGTATGAGTGTGGTATTTAATTTCTTAATGTGTCCTAGACATCTCTTGGCTTGATAAACTATTAACAATCTTGAAGGAGAAGAGAGAAAGAAAACAGGAAAGGCTTCAGACAGAAGGTAATGCGTGGGCAATGTTGGGCAGAATGATGGTATGCCAAGAAATTATTCTTAGACCAAGACATTGAGGGGAAAGCATTTACAAGGAGGCAGAGATTGAATACGATTGTATTCCCTGTGGTATATTTACATACCAAATATTTTTTGCTCTTTTAAAATTTATCTTTGTTTTCAGTTGCTTCATCTCAAAAATAGTGGACACTGTGACCACACTGGGCACAAAAACCTACTTGGATAATAAAGAAAAGCTAAAGAGACTCTAGCTTTTAAAGTTTTACCATTTTTATTAAAAGCTACTGTTGATGATTTGTCATTCAGCTGGCACTATCAGGTTATATATGAAAAAACAAAATGTTTTCAATATGCTGTTTCTAATTAGACCATTGAAAATATTCACCTTACTACAAGACAAAACAAGTTAAAAAATACTGTAAACTAGGTTTCATGATGAGCCTTAACTATTTTTCCCAAAATGAAAATAGCTTTATTGCTTTTCTGTTCTGATTCATTAATAAAAATAAGACTTCATTGAAGATTAAGAGGCATAGGATAGCTTATCAGATAGAAGTCTGATAGTTAATTTTTAAATAATAAAAATATTCATACTACACTCATACACAGTGCATGATAATTACAATGGGAGGGGTTTTCCTTGTACCATCTATAAAATGGTTTAGTAATAATACCAAGTATAAACAAACAACTTCTTATTTATTTCTTTATTTTTTGTGGTCCTGGGGATTGAATCCAGGGCCTTGTGCATGTGAGGCAGGTAGACAGATACTTCTACCAACTGAGCTATATCCCCAGCCCTATAAACAAACTTTTAAGATAGACTACCACAGAAAAGAGATGTCTTAGTAGGACCCCAGATACCTGAAACAAGTAGCATTCTAATGAAAACACTTTTATTATTAGCTGTCCCCACTTGCTTGAAAAACTCTTACTTATCCTCAGCTCTCCAACTTCCCAGCTGTGTGTCTTTGGGCAAATAATTTAACAGTGCTGACTTCAGTATTTTTGTCTGGGAAGTGGGAATTATAGTACCAATTCAATATGGTTGTTAAGAATACATTTGTAAAGCACTGAGCAAATATTCTAAGCAAAAATAAGTGCTTAATACTATCTTTCTAGGCTCCTTTCAGTTGGCAAGTTTTCTCTATGGCTTTCCTTGTTTTCTCAGAATAGTTTTTTTTTTTCCCCTGAATTTGTATTCAGCACTTTGAGCATTTATCTGATTCAGCACATCATATGGTAACTTATTTATATTTGTCTTTCCTATTCATCTCAGTTCTTTGAGGCCATGGACTGTGTGCTTTATATAATATATTTTGGTATCTTGGGCATGAAACAAGGTCCTGTTGTAGAATAACTGATCAAGAAGTAGGGGTTGTTGGGCTGGGGATGTGGCTCAAGTGGTAGTGTGCTCGCCTGGCATGCGCGTGGCGCTGGGCTCGATCCTCAGCACCACATACAAATAAAGATACAAAAAAACGAGACCTAAAAAATAAATATTAAAAAATTCTCGTTTTTTAATAAAACATTTTAAAAGAAAAAGAAAAAAATTCTCTCTCTCTAAAAAAAAAAAAAAAAAAAGTAGGGGTTGCATGGGATTTCTATCATCAAAACAGATCCAAAAGTATATTTAGTTAGTAGCCTTTTTACTATGCCTCCTGCTTAAATCATTTGCTGTAGCCAAACCTTTTCCACCAAATATGGTTGACCCTTGATATCTGTGGGTTCCCCATCTGTGGATTCAATCAACCACAGATCAAAAAATTTGAAAAAAAAAATGTTTATACTGAACATATACAGAACATTTTCCTTGTCACTACTCCCTAAATGATATAACAGCTATTTACTTAGCATTTACATCATATTAGTTATTGTAACTTATCTACAGATTTCAAATGGTTGTTTGCATACAGGCTATACATAAATAATATACCATTTTAGAGAAAGGACCTAACCAAAATTGAATTTGGTATCCTTTGGAGGTCCAGGAACCAGTCTCCTACAGATACCAAGAGACAGCTATACGTACAAAGGCAACTATTAGTCAAAACATCACAAATGTGATAATACATGGGGGGTCCAAATATCCTAAAGCATCTTGGGTTTAAGTTGAACATTTCTAAGAAATTCCTGAGGATTTATGGCAGCCAAATCCCTGAATGAATTCAGGACTAGTTGAACGAGCCTGTGAAGACTCCTTTTTGCGAGGGCCTGCCTTTATAATGAATGAATTGGATTTTTATTGATGTCAGGTAGATTCAGTGATGTCCTGCCTCCAATAGGGGAATGGATTGATTGACCTCCCGAGGTCACAGGTTTGAGCCTGTGGGTCTGCTCTGCCAAATCCACTTTACTATACCTGTGCGCTTAAGGTTTCCAAAGGGCTTTCTATCCTTGGGAAAGCCATTAGGGGTACTCCACGGGGATCTTCAGGTTTGGGTTTGGAAGGAGATCCTTGTGTTCCTTTAAAGTTATGGACCACACACATTCCCTGCAGGATGAGGGGAAAAAAGATTGGGGTGAGATTAGAGCCATCAGTGCCTGGCCATCTTTAAAGGTTGCAGGCCTCTTCCTGTGAATATCATCACTATAGTGACTCTTTTCCTTTGAATGAGGTGGTAGGGACCAGGAGAAAGTCTGAGGTCTCTGCTGAGTACATTTTAAGTGCTGAGGAAGCAGCTGTGTATTCACCAGGTGGCCAGGGACAATAAATCCACACCATTGAGCCTATGTCCTCAGCTACAAAATGAGAATAGGAATACCCACCTCATTGATCTGTAACAATTAAAGATGACGAATGTGAACCACCCCTAGTAACAGGGAACACGTATTGAGGACCACTATGTGTCTGGTACCAGCCTGAATGTTTTATCTCATTTCATTTAACCCACCCAATAATTTCACAAGGAAGGTACTATTATTGTCTCCAGTTTAGATAAGGGAAATAGGTTAACTTGTCCAAGGCCACACAGAGGTTTAAATTCCAGAGCCCTTAAATCACACTTCTAGACTGTTTTGCCTCTTAATAAGTGCCAAACATATAGCAAGTACTCGGCCAACATTTGCTGGTCTTTAATTTCTGCCTAAGTTGATCATCCTCAAACTATGTGACTACTATTATCTTGGAGTTAAATGACTCACTAGTGGTAGTTTCTTTTACTACTGCCATTAAAAAAAAAGTCTCCTACAAATTATTACTCATTTTTCTTCATTTTTCTATCAGAGTCATGCATTTTTTATCATCTTCTTTGCTCCTTTTGCCTACGTAGCATTTATCTGCCTTTTTTTTTTTTTTTTGCGTTATTCTGCATCTTTGTTTCTACATCTGGTGTTTTTGAATTTTTCCTGTCACCCTTCAGACCATTTACATAAACATTCTTTATCTGGCTTACCTCCAGCTCAATCTCCAGTTTTTCTTAAACTTCCTCTGCTTGGGGAATGGAAGAAGGGAGTCCTGGAGTTGAGTGACCCAGGTCAGATTCATGGCTTATTGGTTGGGTGGTTATTGGGCAAGTTTGACTTTGAACCTCACTTCCTCCTCTATAAAATGGATAAAAATATTGCTAAGGTTGCTCGAGAACACATGATTCGATGTGCTCAAAGTAAGAGTAGAGTATGTAATAATTGCTCAACTAATAATGTCCTTGCCCTTTGCCTCACATTCTTTCTTATGGGAAACACAAACATGTAAAATGACATTGAGCATGTGCCACCAGTGCGCTGCTGCCATTCTCGGTTATTGTTCCTCTCTGTTTCCTCACCAAATCTCCAAGTCTCTTTGGAATGTTTCCAGTCTCCGCCATGACATCCCTCCTCTCCCATTTCCTAGCCCCATGTGTGTCTGTGAGCTGTGCACATGCAGTCAAGGGGGGTCCTTCTTATGCCAACACAGTTCTATAGCAGATCTGGATCTTAGGTAAAGGTCACTTAGAATACACATTTTAACAACTGTGAAGTACTTTGAAAGTAATAACAGGCCAGACAGGAACTCAGTGGTAGGAAACAGGACTGCAAGATACTGAGAAAAGAAATTTTATGTTGGTGCAGAATTTGTCTGGGGCTCCAGCAAACACAGCAGCATTCACAGATATCATCTTACAAAGACCCCCACAAAATTGCTGGGGACAGTCAGAAATACTCTTTGACCTGAGCTGGGAATAGCTGGTTCTAGGACTGATGGATGTCAAAACTGTTTGTTTTAGCTTTTCTTTTGAGCCCAAGTCTTCATGTATGTTCCATTGATCTCCCTTTGAATGGCTTCTTTTCTTGAAGATACCTATATTCTTTCCCTCTTCTAAAAACAATTTCCTCTGGAATTATCTCTTATGAGATATTGGCATCTTGGGATCATTCCAGCACCACTTTTTCTGTAATTTGACCCAGACTATGTTAGATGAGACTTTTTTTTTTGTTATTACAGAAAGAAACTGAGTCTGTTCAAAGTAACTTCAAATTATAATAGAGCTCTAAAATCAGGGTTCTGAATAAATGTGTGAGCCTTTTTTTGTGGCATCTTAGCAGATGAGTTGAGAAACTGAGTTAGAAGCTCATACAGGCACACTGTTATACTGGGGAAGGAAAAGGAGGTATGTCATATGACTGTACAATCAATTTTGGGGGATGTCATTCATAAAGGGTCTTGGGTGGCAAATGGCAGAAAGGGAAGTGGTGGGGGAGGCCTTTGAAATGGACGGCTCTTTTCTCCTTGGGGAGGCTTTCTGATTATGATACGGATTTATTTCATGCAGAATGTGGGTTTCTAGGTCTGGTGATTCATTGTAAATCCTTCTGGGTCTATTGTAAATCCTTAGAGATAAAACAAAAGCAAAGCAAAAAACAAAAAACCAGTACCTCCATGGACATATGGCCATGCAATAAAATATTACATAGCAATAAAAAGGAATAAATTATCGATGTATTCTATAACATGAATAGGTCTTAAAATGATTGTTGGATGTAAGATGCCAGAAAAATAACACACATCATATGATTCCATTTATGTGAAATGCTAGAAAAGGCAAACTAACAGGATGACAGAAGGTAAATGGTTGCCTAGGGAAGAGGGGAGATAAAGAGTGAGAGAGATGACTATATCTGTATGCCAAAATTTATCAAATTGGACAATTTATTAGCCTTTTATTATACATCAATAAAACCATGGGGGGGTGGATAGAAAAACACGATAAAAAAGAATAGAAGTTCACCTTTCCCCAAATAACTCAGCTTAAGAGATTTTCTAGGAGAGCAGGTGGCCAAGCCCTCATCTATTTGAGGCATTAAAATATTAAAAATGTAGATATATATGCCACATTTTTTTAATCCACTCATCTACTGAAGGGCATCTAGGTTGGTTCCACAGTTTAGCTATTGTGAATTGTGCTGTGATAAACATTGATGTGGCTGCATCACTGTAGTATGCTGTTTTAAAATCAGTTGGGTATAGACTGAGAAGAGGGATAGCTGGGTCAAATGGTGGTTCCATTTACAGTTTTCCAAGGAATCTCCATATTGCTTTCCAGATTGGCTGCACCAATTTGCAGTCCCACATTACTCAGCAATAAAAGAGAATAAAATCATGGCATTTGCAGCTAAATGGATGGAGTTGGAGAAAATAATGCTAAGTGAAGTTAGCCAATCCCCCCAAAACAAATGCTGAATGTTTTCTCTAATATAAGGTGACTCTTATAGTGGAGTAGGGAGGGGGAGCATGGGAGGAATAGACGAACTCTAGATAGGACAGAGTGGTGGTGGGGGAAGGGAGGGGGCATGGGGTTAGAAATTATGGTGGAATGTGATGGGCATTATTATCCATGTATGAAGACATGAAATGGTATGAATATACTTAATATTCAACCAGAGAGATGAGAGATTGTGCTCTATATGTGTAATAAGAATTGTAATGCATTCTGCTGTCATACATAAAAAAATTAATAAAAAAACAAATGTAAAGATGTGGAGAAAAATATGTTAACCAAAATTCCTCTCCCAGAAGATTATATGTAGAAGCCACTGTGGTGGAAATAAGATGCCCAAGGGCATGTTCAAATAACAAGAGGCCTTCCAAAAGGAACTGCTGTGGATAGTTGCAGGGTTTCCTATTTCTGAGGAGGATAAATGCACTATGATGACTCCTGGGGCCAGGATGCAGTTTCCTGGGATGCTGGAGGAGAGGTTGCCTACTTCTACCAGCTCTTCTCATCTTTCCCTATAAACACTTAGCTTCTGCCCCCAAACATGTGAAGAAACACTTAAAGAGCACTGATTTGCAGATGTGCCGCATGATCAGTCTGCCCATCCCTAATTTAAGACCAGTGGTGAAGGAAGTAGAGTAAGCCATCCTTCTTGAGCACCACTCTCCCTGACCTCCAGAAGGAAAATGGTCAAGCATATTTCTGGGAAAAAAAATGTACTTTGAATTCACTCTTGCAGCAAAAGGATGCATGATACATGGAGAATAACTGCACCCCAAAATGTCAGGACATGGAATTGGACTGCAAGGTTTATAAAACCCCACTCAGTATGACCTCAGCCTTGGGGACCAAGGTAGAAAGAAAGAGGCTGACGTACCAGAAACAGGGCCACCGCGGTGCCCAGGATGAAGCCTGCGATCACGTCTGAGCAGTGGTTCCGGTACTCCGAGACCCGGTTGAGGCCGGTCAGGAAAGCTGTGCAGAGGGTCCCGAGGCATAGCACTGGCTTGGCCAGTCGACTGCTCTTCGTCTTGATTGTGCTTGTGATGTACATCTGGAGTGGAACAGAAATCGGGGAATGACAGAAACCAGACAGCCTCTCTGTATTGGTGCATGCACCGGTAGGCACGGCCACACAAGCAGGGGTCACCCCAAAGCAGCCACATTTACTATTTCCCCTTGAACAGCTTCACTAAAGCTCCTTAGTAGAAAGTGTTGCTAGGAAGCTAGTGCTGCAGATAACAAGGGTACTTAATCAACCTCTTGTATTAAAGTGGACATGATAACAGAAGTTATATTGCTATAAGGAATGGCTGCAGAATAATGACAAGATTCAGAGCATGCGGTTTTTATGCAAGGAATCAGAATCATTTGAGGGTATTAGTAAATCCAGATAACAATCTCCAATATCAAATAAATCCACTATGGGAATGAATTTTATGGTGGAGATCAGGTAGGTGAGTGACTGTACATTTTACCTTTTGTGTTCCATACAGAACTAGCTGCTTCTGTTCACTTTCAGGCAACAATACAAAAGAATTAGCTGACTGGCTGATGGACTAAATTAGAGCAGCCCAACCACCAACACACAAACAGATTTCAGTTGTGATGGGAAGCTGATTCCCCACATTTCTTGGGATAACTGATCAGCTCCATTCACTCATTGACTCCAGTGTTTTAAAACATTATAAACTTTTCTTTGTGTGCCACAACTTACTACAAGTGCAAAGACCTGAACCAAATAGAGAATGATGCAGTTTGTGGCACCTGAGATGAAGCCTATTGTATCCTTGTGCGAAGCTGCATAGGTTTCAAAGACTCAGTTATCACTTGTGTCCCTACTTGTCTAATGCTAGGAAGATGTGCCTCTTTCAAATGATCACCTTTGGCAATGGCTACCAGACACCAGTAGAGGGCATACTTGATGCATCCTTAACAAATGTGATGCGTTTAATACCGCTTAAAAAATGCTTTTTGAATTATTCTATAGTATGTGTATATAGCTGGAGCACATATAAGTTCAGGCAGATGTGTTTTGAAATGTTACAGTGGAAATTTTTAATTTCTTAGATGGTTCAATATTTCTATGAATACTACAAGACTGGAGTCTCTGTTTCTTTGTACCAGTGTCCTTTAAAACTGGCTAGTGTTATATGCATGTATGGAAATATCACAATGAAACCCATTAATGGGGATAATCAGTATGCACTAGTAATTAAATAAAAAACTGTGCTTATATCAAAGTTAAATTATGTATATTATTATAATCGGAGACTGGGAAATATTACTTAAAATCTTCATATTTTTAATATCATTTCTTATGCTCCTACATTGTTTTCTAATTATATCCTTTATAAATCTTTCCTAAAAGAATACCAACTATTAAAAGCATGGAACTATGATTAATTCATAGTATTCACAGGATTAAGCAGTACCTAAAAAATCATTGTTGAGTGATTTCTTTTGTCTTTTTAAATTGACACACAATAATTGAACCTTTATGGGGTACAATGTGATATTTCAATACATGTACACACTGTATAATGATCAAATTTGAGTAATTAGCATATCAATAACTTGAGTAATTTCCCAAAACACTTAACACACAACAGACTCAGAAAATGTTTGTGGAATCCTGTATCAGGTTTCTGATTATAGTCCATTTATGAGGCATGAGTTGGACTAGATTATCTGCATCCTTGAAGGTACGTGCTAGTACAACACCTATTTGCATGCTAACTATATTTGCTTCTTTGTTTCTCAATTAAGGTTGTATCATTTGATGATGAGACAGTAGTTTAAGTACAAGATTTGTTTTTATAATGGCATTATCGAAATTTTATGAGACTTGATTCTGATATAAAGGAAAAAGTACAAGAGTAAACTGATTTATATAAATTAGGTTTTAGATAATTTAGGACAAATTGATCTTCTGAAAGTTGGAAAATACACTGACTGCATCAGAAGGATTTCTTTAAAAAAAAAAAAAAAGCATGGATTTTTTTCCTTCCTTGATAAATCAAAGAAGTCTAACCAAGCAACAATTGATCTGTTTTATAAACCAAGGCTTCTGTATTATTTGTGTTCATGGTTCCTTACCATGGGGGGCAGTTGAAATCATTATTACCATGTATTCATTAAAGAGTAACTCTAAAAGGAATAACTAAGACTTAGTTGGTGGTTAGCAAGTTGATCCCGTAGATGAAACCCTGTAAATGGGACACAAAGGCACTAATTGCTCCGGGTTGTATAAAAGAGAATATTCACCCCATGGACCAGAGAAAGAGTCAATCACCTCTTTCTCCACTCTGGGGTGGTGGAAGAAACAATATTCCCCAGGAGTCAGAATGTGCTTCCTGTAGCTACTTGATGGGGGTGCAGGGAGATGGGTGCCTGCCCTTGGGAATGGGACCAAGGCATACCAGAATGGCTGAGAACAATGGGTAGTTTGAAAAGGGTCTTTCCTCTGCCTTCTCTCACCCCATCTTTCACTGAGAATCACTAGATGAATCACATCCTGAAAACAAGTTGAGATAAGGGAAAGGGGGTGTTGTGGCCAACAATTGTCCCTCCACTGGCAAATGCACATGGTACTCATCAGTGACCTTATGATATCAGCCATGTGCACCTTTGAGTTGATCCCTGTACTTCTGGGTGCTGGGTTCTAAGGAAGCATAGGCTTGAGAAAGGTGACATGAAGGCATTTCCAAAACAGATACATTTTAAAAGTAGGAAAAATAAATTTGTTTCATCTTTGAAAGCAAAAACCATAAAGAAGATGTTATAACCCTGTGGGGCAGTCAAAAGGTGGTGTGATGTGGGGAGCAGTGAGAAGTGAACTTTAGAGTATTAGGGATCCTTCTAGAATCACTCATCTCTCCTAGCAAAGTGATAGAGTGTCAGAAGAAGCAAAGTGAAGCTGGGCCTGCCCACTGCTAGGGCAGCCATTCACTTATGGCCACACCTGGCAATCTGTAGGCAGGCCTGAGAAAAGTGGGCTGTTCTGGAACCAAAGCCTTAGCAAAGACTGCTGTGAGGGGTGGTGAGAAAGTCCTAGCTCTGGTGTCAAGAGTCTGGGTCCCAGCTCTGACTCTGTGTCCTTGGCTCTTCTCTGGGTCCCAGGTGCTGCATCTGCAAAATGGGAGGCTGTAACTCGGGGATCATCAACATTTCTTTCCAGAACTAATATCCTCTAGGAGGTCAGAATCTTCTTTTGAGATGTTAGGAGTAAGATTAGGTTCAGGGGACTATATCGCATCCTGTAGCGCATGATGTTGATCAGATAGCTACATGTTTTACAAGTCTCTATAAAAATCGCTATAAGTGAGAGTGATAAAAGGATGGGGGTAGGGAAGGCAGAGAGAGACACATCAGCAAAAACCTAGCTTAGGGGGAGATGGTAAGACTTGCACACTCACCGTGGCATATAAGGCGGAGTAAATGCTCAGAGCAGCATGTTTGGAGGGAAAGGATCTCCGAGCCTTTTCTATTACTTCCAGGTCCCCCGTACAAATGTTCCCATTGTTTATGAACTGGTGGTGCACCCCGCAGTCTGTACTGGTGTAGTTCGGCTTACACACTGTCAGGAAGTATGGTGTGAGGTGCCCAGTGACCACTTGTCCGGCGTTTACAAAAATGTCCGTAGCAAAAAGTCCAAATGCAAACACACCTAAAAGGAAATTTTAAAGAATTTTTAAAAATGGTGACACATGCTGATGATTGGTTTTTGCCCCTGAGAAGAGACAGAGCAGTCGGAGTGCATGATGACCTGTCAAAAAGATCCTAAGAACTCCCAGAATCAAATTCTTCCCTTACCTTCATCTTTCCAGGGAGTACAACCTATTTCCCAAATCCCCATTTCTTCCAAATCGAGGTAAACAACCTACTGTTAGCATTTTATTTATTTTTTGTATAAGTACCACACCCAATAGAATTCAAATTCTAGAGTCTCACAGACCTGGGCTCCTATGCCACTTAGGGTGACCGATTCGCAAAGTACTTGGTTTACCTTCTTTGTTTTTTTGAACCCTGGAGTCCTTAGTTACAAAATGGAGGGGCTAAGTTTGGCAAGACAAAGTTCCACACAAAATATCCAGTGTGGTGTACAGTTTTAAGTAGTTACTCCCTACCAATTCTCTACCTATAGAAAACATTCTTCTTGGCCTTATTTGGAAATTCAAATAATTCTAGGAGAGGCTGTCTATAATATCATGGTAGGTGAGAGTGGAAAAAGATTTTAGGGAGTTGTCCTTAAAAACAGAAAATATCATGATTGAATGGGATGTTTTATTTGATGCTGGAAACAGGAAATATAAGACTAAAGGAAGGGTGTTGTTGACTGTATTAGTTTCTTATTGCTGCTGTAACAAATTCCCCAAACTGAGTGGCTTACAGCAACCTGGTATTCTCATCAAGGTCTAGAAGTTAGAAGTCCAAAGTAGGTTTTCACCAGGCTAAACACAAGGTGTTGGCAAGGCTGTGTTCCTTGTGAAAGTTCCAAGGTAGAATTCATTCCTTGTCCTTTCCAGTTCCCCCACCCCCACCTCCCTTCCTCATTTTATGGCCTCTTTACAGCATTCACATCATTTCAACTTCTACTTCCGGTGCCTCATCTCCTTCTCTGACTCTGGCTCTCTTGCCTGCCTCTTACAGGGTCCCTCATGATTAAAGTTGGCCCTTCTGGTTGATCCAGAATACTCTCTCCATCTCAAATTCTTTAATCACACACATCAGCAAATTCTCTGTTGTCATGTAAGGTAACCTATCACAGAGTGGCCACTATTCGGACTTGACTTGTTTGGCTGAGAACCCTGTGGGTAAGCAGTACTTCCTAGATTTTGTCTATTCTCTGGTAAATTCCACAGGATCAACTTCAACAAGCTTGAACATGAATAAACAGAATTATCTTTTTTTTTTTCCTAATTTAAATTTGTATATAATACATAAACAAAAATTGGACCATGTTTATGGGGTACCATGTGATATTTTGATACATGTGTACACTGTAAAATGTTTAAATCCAGTCATGCATATCAGCCTCCTTGAACATTTATCATTTCTTTATGGTAAAAACATTCCAGCTCCCTTCTTCTAGTCTGCTAAATTCAGTTCATTATTGTTTTTCATAGTGCGATAGCATAGCAAAACCTCTCACTCCTATAACTGTAACTTACCCTCTTCCTGTTCCTCCCTTGCCCTAGGTCTCACCTTCTTTTGGCAACCACTATTCTACTCTCAACTTCTATAAGAACATTATATTTTTAAAAATTCTACGTATGAAGGAGATAATGCAGTTCTTGTCTTTGAGTGCTGGCTTATTTCAATTCACATAATGATCTCCAGGTTCATCCACGTTTTCATAAATGACAGGACTTAATTCCCTATTCATGACTGATAGTATTCCACAGTGTGTCTGTACCACATATTCTTTATCCATTCATCAGTTGTTGTACACTTAGGTTGTTTCCATTTCTTGACTACTGTGAATTGTGGTACAATGAACACCGCATGCAGATGTGCCTTTGACATGCTGCTTTCATTTTGTTTGGACATATATACCTAAAGTAGGATTGCTGACAAAGAAACTTTATATTGTTTTCCATAATGGCAGCTCTAAGTTACAATCCCACTAACTGTAGGCAGAGTTTCCCTTCTCCCTTGTCCTCACTAGCACTTGTTCTCTTTTGTCTTTTTGCTAATAGTCATTCTTACTGAGGTGGGGTGATATCTCACTGTAGTTCTGACTTGCTTTTCTATCATGATTAGTAATGTTGTGCATTTCTCCATATACTTGTTGGCTGTTTGTATGTCTAAGAGAATTCTTCATAGGACACTTTGCTGTGAATTATTTCAAAGTCTGTTCAGTACATCTCTAGATTTCAGTACATCTCTAGATTATCTGTTAAATATATCAAGAGGCTTTATAAAGCCTGAAGACAATGAAGACAATGTTTCAAATGCAACTTAAAAGTTGTCAAGTGTGAGAGACAGTGTTGACCCTTGTGTCAAGGGTCTGCTTGAGTTTCAATTAAATTTCTACCCAATTTTGATTTCCATATCGAATGTCCTGAATCTGCAAATTGTGCTGATTTCAGCACCAAAAAGTTAATCTATTATAGCAGAAGGGAAGAACAATTTGGCTGAAATCTTCATCCGGTTTTCATTTTGATCTGTATTGATTGCTATAATTTTCCTTTCTGTGGCTTTGCCAGAATGTGCTTTATCACAATGAGAACTGGCTCTTAATAGCTTCAGCTGGCTCACACTCACATGGTCTGACCTCTGTGGGCAGGCATCCATTGATCACCCATGGCAGTTTTCACCCCCAGGTTCTAGAAGTCTGAATCATTGGAATTTTTTTTTTTTTTTTACATTTCCAAGCAAGAATCTCAAAGACCAAGTCTCTGGCTTTTTTCAAGGGGGCAATAAGTCTGTCTAGACATACTTTTCCAGGAAACGAGGATAATTTATGATTTGAAAAAGGGAAGGTGACAGCATTTTCCTGTGGCATTTTCTTTGTCAGAAGTGTCTCCAATTAGGGCTGGTCTGCTCTTTCTGAGATAGGGGATTTCTCAGCTATTTGGATCAGCATCTGAAGTGCCACCTCTGTGGTCACAGTGATCCTGCGACTGTTGGCTCTGCATGTCACTGTCCTGTGTATTGTTGCTGAGAGTTGCTTCCTCTTTTTTTCTCTGCTGCCTCTGGTGGATTAAGTCTGCTTCTCCTGATGGTTTAACATCTGTTTCCCCCAAATTTTATTCTAGTGCATTTGATCTGTCCTTAGAAGGAGGTTGTAGCAGCCTGGGGAGCCCACCTGCTTGGCTTGAGCCACTCCAATGACAGGTGACCAGCTGTGGTGATTTACAGACAGCATCAAGTCACTCAGGGATTTTGTCAAGGAACTTAAGCCACCCTCTGCTATTTACCCTGACTTGTGTGTATTTTTACAAGCCTGAGAAGCTAAAAATAGCTCCTTTTGTCCTGAGAGTCTGGTGAAATGCCATTTATATTCTCCTGTACTGCAAGGTATGATTTGAAGGAGATGGTATCAAAATATCTATGTATCCTAGCTTCATGTCTAAAATTGAGATCATGTATTTTTAAAATTTGAACCCATTTTCATTTCTATTACCCCCCCCCCCCCACCATGGCTCTATTCCATCAATAGTGTCCTCCTTGCAGGAGAGCTGATTGCATATCAGAATGGATTTCTGCATTTAATTATAGTAGACAAAAAAGTCTGAAAGTCAAGCAATTTTGACTTGCCAAAGCCATGTTCTCATGATATTTATTACTGCTTTGCTTCTCCTCTAAACACTGAAATCTTGGCTTGGAAGATGAAGAATCATGGTGTGGAGGCCAAAACACCTGAACATCTAAAAATCAACCACAGAGCACAGGAAGATGTGGATACAGATGAGGATGTCACAAAAGGTAGAGAAGCTGGCCAGATCTGGCTGAAGGAGTGAAGGGACACAACCAGGCTCCCGGCCTCATACTGTCATCAAGCCTCAGGGGTGGGGTGAAAGAAATCTCCAGAATAATATTTTGGAAATGCAGATGAAGGGTGGCCTGCACCTCCCAGGATACCGCTCAAGAGCCCTGCAAATGTCTTGGGGAAGTTTCACATTCAGCTTGGCACCAGAGCCACAGGGTGACTGAATTAGGAATGGCTAAAGGAGTCAAACCAGTTGAGAAGAGGCCTACAATTAGGACAAAGAGATTGGCATTTGCTGGTGACACCTGCAGGCTCTGCCATGGTGACAGGAATCATCAGAGGAAACCAGAGTCTGTCTCTTCCTTGTGGCCTCAAAGAACTGAACTGACATGTGCTTGGTAAGCCAGAGGACAAAGAGGAAGGTGTTCAAAAGTCTCCCGGTTTGTTCTAGGGCTTTACCTGGACTCCATCTGATTTCAGTTAGGATGAATTTGGACAAGTTAGGACCTTCGATCACTAAAAGTTTAGAACGGGAAGTGAGACTCTGTGACCTGGTTCTGGCTATGCAATCAGCACAGGGCTCCAGCTCTGGTCCTGATAGAATGAGGTAGAAACAGTGACATATTCTGGCAACAGGTGTGATGAGGATCTTCAAAGCCACAGATCACTGGTCTGCTGGCAAAAGGTATGAGTGCTCATGCCAGGATGCCTTCAGACCTGGACGAGGTATGTAACCAGTCTGCAGGTGCCAAAAGGACTCTTGCTCTCTGCTCAGGCTTCCTCAGAAAGCCCAGACCCAAGTACAGAGTGATAGTCAGCGGGGAGGGACTGCATTCCTTCTTGCCCCAAGGATCCTGTGACCTTAGACAGAGCCTCCAAACTAAAGACTGAACACTCTGTGCTAAATTATACATGTGTAATTTTTCAGTTAAAATTGCTCTTTGCTGACAGCCTCTGATGGATCATCTCTCAATTGTTCACTAAAATATACATGATGACAGCAAAAAAAAAAAAAAAAATGGAAACTCGTAACAACATTCAGAGCCAGGACTGATGCCAATGTGCAGGAAAAATCAGAGAGGGGTTTGCCCCACAAGAAACTACATATGGAGGAGGTTAAATCTCACCCTGTCTCTCTGTCTCTGACTCTCTTTGTGTGTCTATCCTACTTTATCACAATACTCACATACATAATGTAGAAACTAAAGTTTCTCAGAAGACGGGGACCACAG